CTCATTTAATTATTTTTAAATTTTTTCCTGATTTTATAAAAACATAAACCTAAGCTGATATTATTTTATTAATAAATTACTTACTACCTCCTGTCCTTAATATAAGATATTGTTTGATTTTTATTTTGGTCTTAAATATAAGACCTCAGTTCATTTTGTCTCTTATATTTATATATTTTTTTCTTAAGATAGTCTTTCTAATAATAATAGTTCTAGCCAATACACTTAATTAGTAAGGATATTTTAGAAAAGATAATACTTATTTATTATAAATAACTAACTTAATTTTTTTAATCTCTTTAAATTAGTCAACTAGTTCTTATAAATACGGCAGAGGTAATATTAGCCTTATCTTGGTGCTCCTCTGCTCATTTCATTCGTTCGCGCTCTCTCTCTCTCTCTCTTCATTGAGCACGGTGTCGTTTTGTGGGCAGCGGGTGGGCAGCAGATGAGAGAGTAGTGCAGAGAGGCTGAATCCCATTGGGTTTGAAGTGGGAATTCCTGAGCCCTTTATCCTGACGTAGAGCCGGGAAAACGGGTCCGAACCGTCAGGTCAGCCCGTTTAGACCTTGAAATTATGAGGGCCGGACTTGATATTTTTCCTTCAAATGGGAAATAAGCCCTGGAGGGCTGGTCCTGGAGGCCGAGGGCTTAAAAGGGCTGGCCTTGGAGGGCCACGGGCCGGCCCTTTTAAGCCCTTTTATAATTTTTTTTGTTTTTTAAATTTTTTTATATAATTCTAATATTATTAATTTTTTACATTGTTAATAATATTTCAAATATTTAGTTATTATTATCATTTGAAAATTAAATTTAGTGTTAGACAATAATTTATCCAATTAAATGTTTAAAAAATGTGTTAATTTGGAATTTAATAATGATTTGATTTATATTATATGCGTTGATATTTTTAAACTATATATATATATATTGATAATAGAGTATTTTTATACTTATATAACTTGTGATTCTATAATTTGAATTAGAAATTCATGAGTTTCAACAACAATGTTTCTCACATTAAAGTAAAATAATAGCTAGATTGTACAATTTAAAAGTAAAATTCCTATAAAGAAGAAAAACTTAATATTTTGTTACGAAAGAAAACCATACTTATGAAGAAGAGTAATTAATTATAGTGATGATAAAGTTTCAAAAGATTAATGATAGTGTTTATTTATTGCACAATTGTACTATAGATAAAACTTTTGGATGTTGTTATCTTGTTAATGAATGTTTTAGATATTCTTGGATGTTGATAGATATTTATATATGATGATATTTTATATTTGTGACTTAATTTTATTCATATTTATGTCTTTTTTTAATAATTTCATTGGTTTATTTTTATTTTTTTATAAAAGTTATGATAAATATAAAAAATAGTATTTTTTTCTCAAACGGACCAAAAGCCTGCGGGCCGGCCCTGAGCCCTGTGGCTTAAGGGTTGGGCCTAGCAAATTGGGATATTTTTAAAACTTCAGCCTTGGAGACCGACCCTTTTAAGCTTGTCAGCCCTGAAGACTGACCCTTTTAAGCTCATCAGCCCTGAAGGATCTGATTCCCACCTCTATCCTGATGACTTAACATAATAAATGCCACCGGCACTATACGCCCCCTGCCACTAGTGCACTACCGTCTACCATCGATATGAGATATCACTACTGGAGTGGAGTCGTTACTGTGGGCCATACCAATACCTCCATGTCCATCTTATCATTATCGTTTCCACTGCCGTGATATCATCAACCTCATCAACATCATTTCACGGGTGCCAAAAATCTAAGGCCATCTCTTATTTAAGATAAGAGTTATTTAAAAATTCAATTTAATTTTAGATATGAAACATTAATTCATTTTGTCTATAGCATTTATCCATTTTACCTATGATGATTACACATGATAGGGACTCTCCACCAAGAGATAGTTTCAATACACGTAATTAATAAAGATATTTTATAAAAAATAATATCCACGTGTTATAAATAACTAATTTAATTACTTTTTTTAATATCTGTAAATTAGTTATCTAGTTCTTATATTAAGTACAAGAAGTAGTGTGTATATATTCATCATATTACAAAATTATGCTCTTCACTCTTAGATATATGATTTTGATTCACTTTATTTTTCCCTTTTAATTTTTTTTGGTATAATAGAAGGAATATGAGTTACAAATTAACAGCCGGAAAATTGTAAATCATGGAAAATTGGTATTAAATTACTAAATGTGACAAAATTTGACAGGAAAATTTAAAAAAAAAGACTATTGAATTTTAAAATTTCAAATCAGAAATTACTACAAAAATGTGTTTTTATTTATTTTTTTGAGTGTAGTCATTTTCTCTATAATTGTAGTAACTAATACTGATTTAAAATTTTAAAATTCAACAGTCATTTTTTTTGGGGATTTTTCTAATTTGATATGTTAAGTTATCATTTTTTTTCATTAAAGAAAAAAAAGGAAGAATAAGTAGTGTTTGAAGTATTAGCTTTGCAAATTGCAAATAAGAAAAATTAGTATTAAAATATGGAAAGTTGTAGAAATTTTTGACAAGAGAAATTTTGATTTTTCATTATAAAAAGTTGTAGAAGATGAATTGCAAGTTAATGTTTAGCAAGTTGTAAATTAAGAAAAAAATTAATTTTAAGTATAGTTTGCAGCGTAATTATCCGGCGTAGTATTAAATTACTGGGAGTGATAAAAAATTTTTACAAGTTCATATTTTGCAACTTCAAAAAGAGGGATATAAGTTTTAAATAATTATTCGAAAGGAGAGATTTCAGGAATATTAGTACAAATTTGTTGGAAGTGATTAAAAAAAAAAAACGAAACAATTGTTAATGCCAAGAGATTTTTTTGTCCAACCAAAATATAATAGAATTAGACTCAACTTCTGGTGACTTAATACTAGTTTTTGTTTATTTGTGGCTTGTTAGGCAATAATTTGTCACTCATATGTGTGTTTCATTATATATATATATATATATATATATATATCTTTTTATAATGGAAACAAATATAAAAATTTAACTAGTGAAATACCTACAGTGTCATTATTTTACAACTTAAATTCCTCTTTTTATAATGAAGAAAATGAAAATTTAAGTTACAACGTTTTTATCATACTTTTGATACATTTTTCTGTTAATTGAAATTTACTGTACCTCAATATGATACTCATATTCTATTTTTAATAATGAAAAATAGAAAACGAAGCGGTTTTTAAAAAGGGACATATGGTCTGGATTTAAATTTTATAACCTTTTGATCCTAAAATAGGACTAGCTTACTTTTAATCTCAAATGTCATTTCCCCTGGGATATTTTTGGGTGGAATAATAATAAGGATGGCTAGTAATTCGTAGGGATGTTTACCTATATCCCGTGCATCTTGTCCCTGTCACAATCATTTTGGGACAGGACAATTTTGTTCTGAAAGTTTTCATGACAAGATGAAAATAGAACAGACAAAATTGTTTTGGAGCGGGACGGGTTTCAATATATTATTTTTATTTTTAATTGTGATAAATTTATTTTATTTATCACTGTAACAATATTTTGGTAATAATATTTATCAATTGTTATTTTTTTATTTGTTTACAAGTTGTTTTGTATGGGTTACATGATATTTTTTGTAGTGAAATTTTAAGTTTGTTTATTTTTTTGTCTCTCAAGTTTTAAAATTTTTTTTGATTACCATTGTTTCTTTATTTTTATCTATTTTCTTCCTATAATTTTTATCATAAGTTCTTATATTTCATTTATAGTTAATTTTCAAATTAAAAAATAAAAATTCAAAAAAGGGGATATCCATGTCCTATTTCAATTACGGCATGTCCCAATTGGGATGGGATGGGATGAGACAAGGGATGAAAAAGCCATCCTGTCTTGATTATTGAGACGGGATCGGGACGGGATCGTCCTTATCACATCCTGTCCAATGAATACTCTTAGTATTCGAATCAATGGTCCACTCGTAGTTAAATCATAATCAATTCACTCATAATTAAAATAATATAATTTAATTAAAGTATAAAATATTCATCTATAACTTTGATAAGATTAATATTTAAAAGAAAAACATTAATCCTCTAGTAAATGAAACATAAAACATCTTCATGCATAAACCATACAAAATCCAACCCAGTTAATATATCCCATCCAAAACTAGCTGAGCAAACTGATAGGTTTTGATACCTCATTATATGAATTCTCAATGAGACATTTGTTTTTGCGAAGTCGATTACTTTAACTTTCATAGGTCCACTCACATGACCAGGAGAAGGTCATTCGCCGACAATTCAAATATGGAATCTTTGAATTCAGACAAGTGAATGGATTACATTTTTCATTATTAACGACCTTGGGAGGTACTCCAAGCCGCCATACTTGACCTTCAGATCGAATAATGGAGTGAATAACTATGGCCATCCATTGAATTTATCCACTTGAGAGTGGAATTATTGTCATCATCCACTGAATTTCTCTCTCGGAAATTAAAATATATAGATATAACTGATATTTTTTAAAATATTATTTAGTACTCCTCCGTTATTTAATATGGGATATAATTAACTAATTTGAGTAGATTAAGAATGTTAGTTAAATTAGATAATATGATATATTTTTTCTAAAACATACTAATTATCTTCTTTAATTTCCTCACTCTCTTTCCTACTTGATTTTGTTGAAAGAATATCAATTAGATTAATTTAGAAAAAAAATTAATGAACATATGAAATAAATTTTATATAGAACTCTTTAATTAGTTTCTATATGAAGTATTGGATGAGTATTAGATTATTCAGTGTCTAAACAGGTAGGACGAAGCCTGCTCATGCCGACAACCTATTGGCTTATTACATTTCATTAGAGTATATTTTTAAAATATTATTTAGGGTATATACAACTTGATAGGACATGAGCTGTTACTTTCAGAGCACTCACATGAGTTTTGACTTGCTGTCCCCTCCAATATCTATTTTCTCGCAGTGCTTGATTTGTATCTGGGGAAATATAGAATGATCTGTGTATGTGTGAATACTCAATACTTGCAGCTTTACTAGTCTGAGATATGCTAAGCATGAGAAAACCTTCTTGCTTTGTTTTCATCTTTTTACTTCATTTCTTGATGATCTCTTTAGCTTGCAGTGGGGATGATATCACCACGGACAAATATGCACTTCTTGCTTTTAAATCCTTCGTTACTTTGGATCCATACAATTTCTTAGCAAGGTGGTCCATCTCTTCTTTCCCCTGCAATTGGATTGGTGTCACTTGCGATGCTCACCATAGAAGGGTCAAATCCTTACATCTTAGTGGTATGAATCTCATAGGTATCATATCTCCACAGCTAGGAAATCTCTCATCTCTTACTGAACTTGATCTTAGTAACAACAATTTTCATGGTCGTATACCGAAAGAACTGCTTCGATTACATAGATTGAAGTTGTTTAACTTGAGCTACAACGACTTTCATGGACAAGTTCCAACATGGATAGGAGCCTTATCTACACTTCAGGACTTGGATCTTTGTAATAACAGTTTTAGTGGATTTATTCCAACATCTTTATCTAATCTATCAAGGCTGGAGACTTTGGATTGGAATTTTAATTTCATTGAAGGGACCATTCCATCCGAAATCGGAAGTCTAAAGCATTTGAAGATTTTACGGCTTTCAAAGAACAAGCTTTCTGGAGCAATTCCTCAAACAATTTCCAACTTATCTTCTCTTGAAAGATTGAGTTTGTCTTATAACACTTTATCAGGTATTTCTTTGATGATTTGTGGAATCTTTATTTGCTCTTTCTAAGGACAAATAACCTGCTTTGTTATTGATATTGATGACTCTCTTTTTTCCTCATCAATTATATTATTTCAAGGAGGCCTTCCAAGGGAGATTGGTAATCTTCAACAGCTACAGATAATATATCTTTCAAATAATCAGTTTTCTAACTCTATACCAGCTTCCATATTTAATAATTCAATGATGCAGTACATTGAACTTAGCAACAATAACTTCTCTGGTAGCCTCCCAACAAATGTATGTTTTGGGCTTCCGAATCTTGCGAGACTTTATGCAAATGAAAATGATTTGTCTGGTCCAATACCTTCTATCTGGCATCAATGCAAAGAATTGCTAGAGTTAGATCTAAGCAATAACAGATTCAAGGGAGGAATCATCCCAATCGACATTGGAAATTTGACCAACCTCCAATTCTTATATCTGAGCAACAACAGCTTGCAAGGTAAGAGGTTTAATTATATCCATACGTAATTATTCTTATGTGTTTAGTAATATCTAGTTGGATTTCTTTTAATAATGTCATGGAACATGACATCAGAAACAAACCATCTCGCAAGCAAGCTGAGTGCACAATATATATATATAATATATATATATATATATATATGTGTGTGTGTGTGTGTGTGTGTGCATTGCATCCACACTCTCTCTCTCACACAGAGACTTATACATGCATACATACATGTATACAAACATACTACATGCATGCATAGAGTACTAAAAGAATGGAATTATTTAATATGATTGCATAAAGCTTTCTTGCTTCATTATGTAATTTTATCTCATTTTTACTCTTCGTCCCAAGACACCTCATGATCAATTTAACATCAGCCATGAATGTAATAGAGCCTTAATTAATGTAAAGTATTGATTATTTATTGGGAGTATAAAATCCCAATAATAATTAAGCAGCCTTAATGACAAGTTCTAAAGTAAGAACTAAGTCACTAACAACTTCTAATATGTTATTGGGACTTTATAATTATATGGTGGTAGTTATATTTTTTTAGGGGACTTCCTTGTAATTCTCCCATTATTTATGTGCTCATTTTAAATTTTAAACAGGTGAAATTCCATTGTCTCTTTTCAATATTTCTTCATTGAGGGAAATAAGTCTAGGTCGAAACAATCTACAAGGTAATATTCCAATACCAATTGGCAATTGGGCGTTACTCGAAAGATTAGATCTCAGTTACAACTCCCTTACAGGTATGTGTGGAATTTTATGCTTAAAATTCTATTTATTACATGCCTATCTTGAATAATTGATACTGAAACCCATGCTTAATGAGCATGGTTTGGATTATTGTCATTATATTACTGATTATAATTTTGCTCATTTTTTATTTTCAACAGGCGAAATTCCAACATCTCTCTTCAACATTTCTTCATTAACGGTAGTGTATTTAACAAGCAACAATCTAAAAGGTAGACTACCATCATCAATCGGCAATTGCACGTTGCTGGAATATTTATATCTAGAAGAAAACTCCTTAACAGGTATATGCTCAATCGTCTGAGCCATTAATTTTATTTAACAAAGTTCCATTTATCATCTATAATTGAAAACACTTGAATTACCTAAATAAAAATAAAAATTATTTTACACTTAGATCATGTAGCAGAATCAGTTTTCTGTAGACAATAATAACTTTGAACGTTTAATTGAAGAAAAGAAGCTGCACAGTGCAGCGATTCTTTTGAAAAATGCAAGAGGCATGTGTTGATTATATTATTAAGAGAACTTGTTCTAAAATTATAGGCTTAATAATCAAGGCACGAGGATTATTAATAGTGAAATAACAATTATCTTTTTTATCACAACATTAAATTTTAAACAGGAGAAATTCCACCATCTCTCTTCAGCAGTTCTTCTTTAAGAGAAGTATATTTAACAAGAAACAGATTAAATGGTAGTTTGCGAACGTCAACTGGCAATCAGACAATGCTGGAATATTTACATTTAGAAGACAACTCCTTTACAGGTATGGTCAATATATCTACTTATCCACCAATTTTATGCTTCAACGAAATTCCATTTATTATCTGCAAAGCTTGTTCTATATCATCTCGGAATTTCTAACTGAAAATATTCTCATTCCTTAAATGAAAATCAAATTTTTAGCACGCTAATATCTTCCCACAGAATTAGTTTTTCATAATCAATAACAACTTAGTAGAATGTTGAAAATTGCTGCTTATGTTTCTTTTGCAGAATGCAAGATACTACCTTTGATCCTAAATATAAGACTCTAATTTTTGTTGTCTTTAATATTTATTCAATTTTTCTCTAGATAATCCTTATAGTGATTGCTCATTTTGAGTTTTTATCAAGGGGTAGCTTTGATGCACATGATTGATTAGGGTATTTTAAGGAAGACAACATTCTCATATTACAAATAAGTAACTTAGCTAATTTTTTTATAAATTGAATAAGGAAAGACATTCATAAATTGTGTGTGTTTGTGTTTTTTTTCCTAGGTGAAATTCCTCAATTTATTTTCAACGCACCTTCTTTGGGAGAGGTTTACCTTTCCAACAACCATTTCAACGGTAACTTGCCAGAAGAGATGTGCCATCAACTCCCTTTACTTGAAGTCTTTGGAGTTGTTAACAATCAATTAGATGGAAGTATTCCAAAATCAATAAGTAACTGTACATCATTGCTAGCCTTATATTTGGATTTGAACTCGTTTTCAGGTATGCTAATAATCATTATACACCTTTCTATATCAGCTGTGTTATGTTTATAACTTGGAAAAATTGGTAAAAAAATCACTGTTTGAAAATTTAATTGGTGAAAAGGACCTGAATTTAAGCACGTGCAAGTATAACCTGTGAGTGCAACATATCTTCCGCTGTGTACAACATCTCATCAACGATGTGTAACAATTTGCACACAACGAAAGATATGTTGCACTCATGGATCATAGTTGTAATTACTCAAATTTAGATCTTTTTTACCAATTAAATTTTCGACCAGGGATTTTTTTACCAATTTTCCCTTATAACTTTATAACTTTATCACATATTTAATGTCTTCATTTGAGCATGCTAATATGAAAAGAAATTATTGTAAGCTTTACAATTTAATGATATTTAAAAAAAAAGAAATTCAAACACACACACACACACTCTATATAATTCCTATGCTTCTTTTGATAAATTACAAAAACCAGGACATGCTCTGGTAATAGCGTACATGTTACAACATTAAAATTTGAGACATTAATAAAATTTGAGACTTTAACAGCACAGTATTTATTTGCAGCTTTGTTAAATGTTCTCTAAATATGATTAAATACTATAGAATCCTTGCCCAAAAAGTAGTTAAGAGTTTTATGTGACACATAAGGGGTGACAGGGAGATCTACGCAGGCCCCCATGTATCACTAGGAGGTAACTAACTAATAATTTCATGCGTGGATGAAATTTGTCTTTCCTATATTTAAGCGTGGACTTGTTAGCATTGCAAAGATTTGAAAGGACCCGAAATCAATAAGATATTTGGAGTCATCTTGTAACATATATATAGAGAAGTGAATCCAAAATTTTGAAACATATGTATGTTATACACACAGGCGCGCACCAAAAAAAAAATATTGCGTCTTTTCTCAATTTTTAGTACTTTATTCTATTATATATATAAATGTTATCTTCCATCCTTTTTTTTTTGAGTAAGTTATCCAACAGCTTTTTGTTTCCAGGTTTTATACCCAAGGAGATAGCCAATCTTAATAAGCTTGAAGAGCTGGATTTCTCACGTAATAATTTCATTGGACCCTTTCCTTCCTATATATTTAACATTTCTGCGTTGACACATGTCTCCCTTGCAAATAACTCCCTTTCTAGCTTTCTCCCATCAAATTTAGGAATTGGTCTTCCCAACCTGAAGAAATTGAGGTTGGGACAAAATCAACTTATTGGGCAAATTCCAAACAGCATCTCAAATGCTTCTAAGCTCATCATGTTAGATTTATCAGGGAATAAATTTAGTGGAGTTATACCCACTGCACTTGGGAATCTAACAAACCTGATAGCATTATATTTTGATGGGAATGATTTGGACGGATTGATTCCAAATACGATTAACAGATTGCAAAGCCTTCAACATTTATATCTGAGTAACAACAGATTGCAAGGGTCTATCAGAAATGAATTGTGCCAAATCAAAAGTTTGAGTGAGTTGTATTTAGCCAACAATATGTTTTCGGGAATGATTCCAGGGTGTCTCACAAATACATCCTTGAGGAAGTTGGATTTAAGGTCTAACAAATTGATTTCTCATATACCATCTTCTCTTTGGAGTCTTGAAGATATATTAGTCTTAGACTTATCCTCCAATGCATTGAGTGGAAGAATTCCCCCCAAAGTATCAAACTTGAAAGCAATTACACTCTTGAACTTGTCAAGAAATCAACTTGTAGGAAACATCCCTACAAGTATGGGTGGCTTGAAAACCTTGCTTAGCCTTTCTTTGGCTCATAACAAATTACAAGGAGCCATACCGGAATCTGTTGGTGGAATGATAAGCTTGGAGTTCTTGGATCTTTCTCAAAATTACTTGTCCGGTGTGATTCCAAAGTCATTAGCGATGCTCGTGTATCTAAAAAACATTAACCTTTCATACAATTTATTGGAAGGAGAAATCCCAAATGGTGGGTCTTTTAAGAATTTCACAGCTGATTCTTTTATGATGAATAAAGATCTTTGTGGGAAACCCCAGCTACTAGTGCAGCCATGTAAGAAAGGAAACAAGCATAACTCCAATAAAGTTATGTTGTTGATAAAATGCTTATTGCCAACCATGGTTGTCATTTTGGTTATTATTTTATGCATAGTCTTTTTAAAGCGTAAGAGAGATTATGTTAATGATTCAACCAATAAGGATTTAATAAATTTTGAGACACTAATGAGGATATCCTATTATGAGCTTTTACGAGCAACAAATAGATTTGATGAGTGTAATCTTCTTGGAAGGGGAAGCTTTGGATCAGTCTACAAAGCAATTCTTTCAAATGGAAAAATAGTTGCTGTTAAAGTATTTAACTCAAGCCCAGAAGGAGCATTAAGAAGTTTTGACGTTGAATGTGCTACTTTGTGCAATTTACGTTATTGCAATCTCACTAAAATAATTAGTGATTGCTCAAATGGCGAATTTAAATCCATAATAATGGAATTCATGTCAAATGGGAATCTTGACAAATGGTTGCATTCTAATAACTATTTTTTGGATATCTTGCAAAGGTTGAACATAATGATTGATGTGGCAGCTGCTTTGGAATATCTTCATCATGGTTCTTCTACACCAGTTGTTCATTGTGACATAAAACCAAGTAATATATTGTTGGATGAAGATATGGTAGCCCACCTTAGTGATTTTGGTATTGCCAAATTGCTAGGTGAGGGACAGATGGAAATTTATACCAAGACTTTGGCTACAATAGGCTACATGGCACCAGGTATTTAATAACACAATATTTATTATTTAATTTCTATTTTTTTACTCTATGTTTGATGAAATCTTATATTATATTATTCTATTACCAACAAATATTTGTCTTTTTATATGTGATTTTGTACTTTGAAAATTAAAAAAAAAACTACACACATTTTTTTTGGCAGTGATGACTTTTTATTAATTAATTTTTGAAATTGACATGCAGAGTATGGATCACAAGGAATTGTTTCCTTTCAAGGAGATGTATATAGTTATGGTATTTTGTTGATGGAAATGCTTACAAGAAAGAAACCTACAGATGAGATGTTTGTTCAAGGTATGAGTTTGAAAGACTGGGTTAGCAAATCAATGCCTCATTCCATCATTAATATTCTAGATGTCAATTTACTGCCAAAAGATGATCAAAATATTGGCAGCATATTGTCACATATATCATCACTTTTTGAGTTGGCCTTGCATTGTTGCATTGATTTACCTGGGGCAAGAATTAACATGAAGGATGTAGTGGTAACACTGAACAGAATCAAGGCCTCGTTTATAAAAGATATTAGAGACACCCCTAAATACTTGAATAATTATTAGATCAAATTTTAATTATTGCTCCTTTAGCTTTTTCTCCTTGTATTTTTTCGGTTGAACTTTTAACCCTGAAAAATGGAATGATGATGTTTTTCTATATTGTATTTTATAGTGCATTTAAATTTTGAATGTTGGCATATAGCAAATTTATTGTTACTATTGCATTTGAATAATGAGAACATTCAAACCTTTATCTATTGTGAATTGGGTACATTAATACTGTACATCTACGGTACCGATCTGCAATACACCTAATTTTAGCATTTTTAATTCTTTTTTATTTTTTAAATTTGGGAAAATCATTGTATCCCACGTAAATAAGTAATTTGGTTATTAAAAAGTCTCAAAATAAGCGGCAAATATGCATCATATGTTCATTATGTTGTCATTTTCCTACACTCTGAAATTTAATATTGCATATTACTCACTTCTTGTGGAAGCTCTTGGTAATTAAATTTTACTTATATGGAACTACATGATAATTTTTTCTTCATACCCTTGTATGTTGGACAAGGGAAGAAAAATGTGGGACCCAAGTTTAAACTATTAAAAATATGAAAATGAAATTATATTGAACTTGAACCATCCGATTTTAATTTGAATGATCCACTGATCCAGGTATGGTGCTCATCCCCACGGAAAACTGAATCGCCTTTTCTTTTATAGCCTCTTATTATATACTTCCTATAGTGCCAAAATAACGGTTTAGAATATGTTATTGGGTTTCACCAAAAAAAAAAAAAGAATATGTTATTGGGAGAATTCTTGAAGAAGAAAATTAAAATTTCTAAATTTCAAATTAGTTTTGGTTCTGATATTGTAATAGGTTTTGACAATACTTGACTTATAAATAACAACATATTTTTATAGGAATTTTTTATTTGAGATTTAGTAATTTCTAATTTTTGAGTTGAATTTTTCCTATTTTATTATTTTCTTACCAACAATAAAAGCCATTCATATAGTGTTATAAACAAAGGCCAAAAGTCGTAGAAAGTTTTTGTATTTTATTATTTACTAATTTTCATTTTATAATTGTGGCTTCGTCCGTGTTTTTTATATGATCTAGTTCATTTCAAATGTGAAAATAGAGTAACTAATTTCAAACCGGTTATAAATTTACAAATCGAATATCATATATTGGCATTTTCGAAAAACGGAGTAACTCAAATTAATATAATTACTTTTGGCGAAATGAATGAATGAATGAATAGGAATATTTGTGCATGGGTCTTACATAATTTCTTTATGCCTATGATCATTCAATTTTCTCTGAATTCATCATTTACGTTTATTTTTGTTAATGTACTTTCAATCTCATAATTGCTTTAACTACAAAATTACCCTAATCAATGTTCCAAAGTTAAACTCTTTTTTTCTGTTTAATCATTCATTCTAAGTCATTCACCCATCACATTTAGAGGGGTTCAAGTACAAATCTACTAATGAAATATTCTATTAGAGGTACCAGATATTATAAAATTTTTCATGTACAAAAGTGCATATAAAATATTCAACATGGTGCAAAAATGTCACGGTCATTAAGTCAACTCATGTTGACTGTCTAACAAACATGTCAACCAAGAAAATAATGTAAAAATACACATCATGCTTTTAAAATGATACAATAATTTATGAGTTGATCTACATCTTAACCCTATTTATAGAGGATGAAACCCGTAATTTCACGCTTAACAAGATCATTGGTGTCATTAAGTTATAAGAAGCTCCCAACAAATATAAGTTACACGTTAGCTTGTGCCTGCTTAACATCATGGTCAAAGAAGATATTCTTTAAAAATTCCTACGATATTGTTAGATGAAAATATCTTTATCTTTTTAAGCAACGAATATATCTAGCTTATCTTCATACCCATTTGTCCTACGCCCTAAAATTGACCCATCAAATCAAATTGCTTAATGCTAAAATTATGGCCATCCACTAATGTATCCACACAAGCTTCTTCTCGCTGCGATCTTTTTCTGATATACCGATCACATAGACCACAGATGAAATAGTGCCTTGAAAAATGAAAATGTGGTCTTCCTAGTGAATTATACAACACGCAATTTTTACGGTTAGACCTATACCCATGTCCACGCTTTTCGTATATATGTTTCTCCTTCGTTTATAGACTCAAATACCAATAAATAAAATATGTATGATCTTTTCACATGACTATCTGATTGAGTCAAAATTTGAAGATTATCAGATCTAATTAGGAGTAATTCTCCCGAACGTTAATGATTTGATACTTTACAAATTAACTATTTTTTTACATTGATATTACTTTTTATTTAATCTAGTACAAGTAACTTTGCCAGACATTAATTTTTGAGTTATGACATTGTTTTCTTACTACATAAAGAAGAAACAAGGAAAAATACCACTGCAATTAAGTAAATACTCCAGTTATTTTCTAAAATGGAAATGAAAATGATAAAAATACCTAAAACTTTGATTTCCAATCATCGTTCTTAACGCATACAAAAAAATTGACTTTCAGCGGTCACAAAAAGTCGTCACTGAAAGTATAAAAGTCACCGCTGAAAACTTTCAGCGGCGACTAAAAGGTCGCCGCTAAAACACTTTCAGCGGCAACATTTGTCACCGTTGAAAACACTTTCGGTGGCGACAAGAATGGGAATGGAGCTAGCGTACTTGGGAGGGTAGCCCCCATAATTGGGCCCCTGCAAGTTCTTAGAGATTAGTTTCCCATTATTCAAGTAGAGATACGCTGGTGTTTCATAAAAAAAAAATCATAAAAAAAAAGTAATAATAATTTTATAGATAAATTCAAACTTTTCACTAACCGTCATGGAAAATAAAAAGTGAAACTGAAATATTATAATCCTCGTTGTTTGTGGAAACTATAACAATTAAAAGTCATTTACAAAGTCCTAAGGCCTTAAGCTTTTTACAGTTTCACTTTTTCATTCTCGTATTTTACTGTTTGCCGCAACAAACTCTTACCGTTTCTCTCCGAATTGCGAACATCAAATGTATATAATAGTAGCACCGTTTTACTACTATTACCTAGTAGAGTGTGCGCGTGTATTATCAAGTGAAGTTTTATGAACAGGATCAAAAAAAGACAAGTTCCATCCAGTGAGTTACATTTGTTTCCTAGTGCTCTTCTTGTAACTCTTAATTCGCCTCATAAACCATAACGAGGTTTCTGATAGGTTCTGCATGCAGTAAAATAAAGAGATGTGGAGCGTTATAAAGTGTTTCATGTCTTGCATTCCATTTCAGACGACGAGATTGAACCGTTATGATCCTTAATACAAGTCACTTTTAATATGTGTGTATATTAAAGAAAATGAGTTGAATGTTGGTTACTTAATTAAAGCACTTCATTAATAAAAAAAATTCTAACAGTTTTCACCATTATTTTTATTAATTATGATAAATTCTAACATTATATTAATTGCCTCTTAAACTAAAAATCTATAGTATAAACTAGAATATTCTTCCCGTATATATAGTGAGAGATTTTTATATGAAAATTCAAGATAAATGAAAGAAAAATAATTAATATAATAAACGTCTTTAAAAGTAACTTTTATTTATGATATAAAAATATCTTTTTGAAAAGTACTGATAATAAAGAGCAGAGGGAGTGGGAGTAGGAGATATTAAAGAAGAAAACCAAATCACTATTAAAAAAAATGTGAAAAAGTATTATTAAAACATACATTGAAAGTCGCAAAAAAAAAATCAAATATTATTAATTTTTTCTCAGTAATAATCCTCTTTGTAAAGATGACTACAAAATAAAATAAAAGGTCAGTTTATACCAAAAAAATCAAAGGTAAGTTGGAAGTTTTTAAGTATTCTTGGGAATTCCAACTTCCACGAATTAATTTCCAAGAATTTCCAATAGATAATATACCTTTAAACTTATTAGTAGTACTTATCCTTCTTCAATCTTAAAAAAAAAAAATCAGAATTAAGGTCATTTTATCAGCTGCAAAAAAATTTTCAATTCCCACAGATGGCCTTAATAATTTTTAAAATTTCAATTCTTAGAATTAAATATAATTACCGTTCATAGAAATATCAATCTTTCTTAATGAGAGTAAATGAAACAATTGCATCCAAGTATTGAAAACTAGGCCTGTCATTAAATTGGTTAGGACAGTAATTTAAGAATCAGTGATCTGATCATGGTTCAATCACAGTCAATCCAATCATATTTAAATAATTTAATTTAATTTGAATATAAAAAATTCATATATAACTATGATAAGAGTAATATTTAATAGAAAAAACATTAATCCACAAGTAAGTGGAAAATTGAACATTCATGTATGAACCACAAATATATTCTAACAAAATAGAGTTATAAACACAAATAGAACATAATGCTATTTGTTTTAACTCAAAATGACGCCAATCCAAATTTAGTAAGGGAAGATAAAATGGAAATATAAAATCCAACCCAGTTAATTCTGCCCAAAATTCTTGATTAGATTCGTTATGAGACTGATTCACTAATCTTATTGACCGACAGATTAAGTTTTACTACCATCATTATATGAATTCTCAAGAAGACATTTGGAAGTTGTTTTTGTGACATTGATTTTGACTTTCAGACCCACTCACATGACAAGAGAACGTAATTCGTCGACAATTCAAATATGTAATCTTTGAATCCAGACAAGTGAATGGATTGCATTTTTCATCATCATCGTTCTTTGGAGGTACTCCGATCCAAGCCACCATACTTGACCCCTCAGATCAAATAATGGGGTAAATGATTATGGCCATCCATTGAAATTCTCTTCTTGAGAGTGGAATTATTGTCACCATCCGCACCGAATTTCTCTTTTTTGAGAAATTAAAATATATGTTACCGATATTTTTAACTCAAGTATTTATAATTCAGTCTAAACAGTTTGGGAGCCTGCTCATGCGGACAACCCATTGGCTTATTATATTTCTTTAAAAATATTTTAGCTTTTGTATAGAATAGAGCATATACAGCTTGAAAGGACATGAGTTGTTACTCTCATAGCTCCCACTTCTCAATATTGAGGTATATCATGCATGTGAGTTGTGACTTTTTGGTCCCATCCACGAGTTAGGCTTGCCTAACATATACACCTATCTCCTAATTAACTCACAGGTTAGGCTTGATTTGTGTTTGAAGAAGTATAAATTGATGTGTGTGTATGTGTGAATACTCAATATATACTTG